AACCCAATCAAAAAAACCCCAAAAAAAAAAAAAAAAAAAAAGAAAAGAAAAGAAAAGCACACCAGGCGCATGTGCATGTGTGCCCAAAATGCCAAGAAGAAATGGAGGAGAAGGGGCTGTGGTCTGGCAACACTCCCATCCCCAGGGAATGATGTCTCACTTTCCCTTTCTCCGTCAGTCCCTGGCAAGTGCCTGCATCTTATGGCAAAAACGTAAAATAATACCATTTCTCTCTTGGCCAAACAGTAACGACCATTCTGCTTGCCTTCGATTCTACTTCCTCCGGAAACTTTATTCTAGACTACTTGCACACCTTAATACCCATTCTTGGAGGGAACTCACTGCCCTTATCCATGCATGGGGGTCTGCACACTTGGTAGTATTTAGGTGTGAAGCCCTCTAGCAGGGGCTGGGCCTCTCACTACATCACACACAGAAGCTGGCCCAGCCCGGAAGTGGATAACGGTGAAGAGAAACACAGAGTGCTAGCATTACTATTCTGTTCAATACAGACACTTCGGCGTCGCAAGAACACCAAAATAACAGATACGGTGGAGATCGGACCTCATGCCAACACTTGCGGACCTCTTTTGTCTATGGTTCTGCTCATGGACATTAAACCTGCAAGGTAAAATAAGATCCAGCTCTTCGTAAGAATGCATCTTGGAGAAAACAGAATCGCTCTTAGTATGGGGCACCCGTCAGGTGCCACTGATGAAACAAATACTGCTATTTAGTGAGCGTCTGTCCTTTCCAGGCACGCTACCTTTCTGCTGTGAAGAGAACACAGAGCCCCTGCCCTCGAGGGACGTTCAATTTGGGGGGCGTCCAGTTAAATAAGACACGACAGCAACGTGACAAGGACAGGCGGAGAAGCTGATCCAGGGGCACGGGGAACACAAGAGGTCTCCGAATCCGATCTAGATCCAGTCTGGATCTGGGCCTGGTGCTGTGGGGGTCACTCAGCACTGACGTGCACACCTCACACTCTGCCTGGGAGGATAATCTCGGTCCTCCTGGGGGGTTAATCTAACTACAGAGACGGACAGGACTCAGAACAAGGCAAGCTCTCCCAACACCGTCCTAGGGACTTGATCAGCAGGGGGTCAGCAAACAGAAAGATCCCCAAAGAACACCTGGGGGGTTGGAGGTCGGAAGATGGTCGGACCCAGCCACAGAAGACGGAGCACAAGGGGCAGACGACCCCCCTGCTGGGCTAAGGAGCGGCACGGGACTGTAAAAGGACAGAGATGGGGTATGTTCGGGCGAGCCTGGAGCCGAAGAACCATCTGGAACAGCCAGGGAGGAAAGACTGAAGAAAGGCAGTTACGGGACTGATTAGCTTTCAAATCAGGTAACTCCTATGTTAGCAGAATAAATGTGCCTCTTGAGAAACCTGATGAATACGGTAACACAGTGCCGTGGAAAGAAGACCACTAGTAGTCAGGGGACCGGCTGCTGGTTCGTGGGGAGACTGTCATTCTGTGCAGTCAGGTGGGTAGACAGGAGCTGTATCCATACGTGAGCTGAGGAATAAATGGAGGGGTTTACAGCTGCATTCTCTTTCTTCCATACTGGGCTATGAACATTGTCCAGAGAAGCAGTGCTATTTTGTGAAACACGTGCTTTGGATAGGTACACGCACGTGTGCACATGTGTGCTTGAACAAGACCTAAATGTGTTTAACTTGTAGTCACAATCAGAAGTCAAATTGTGAAAGTCTCATTTAGCCTTTTAAATTCTACCCTATTTTACAGGTGAATGAATCAACTGAGATATGAATTCTGGCACAACAGCAAATAAATCCTGGGGGGGGGGGACTGTGATTATTACCACCAGATAATTCAGAAAGGAATATTTTTTTTGAGAGATTTTCGCTATAGGGCGCGTGCACTCGCCAGACAGACAGAGACAGAGAGACAGAAAGCGAGAAATCACCCCCCAGGGGGGATGGTCACACTGCAATCCCTTCTCCTCCATTCTCCTCTCGGGATCTTGGGCACGCATGCACACGCGCCGGGCGTGAGTTTTAAGCTACCGAGTCCAGGACGCAAACCGCGGTCGACTATGTGGGAGTCCAGTGATATAGCCATTACGCTAACTGCTGGTTCCCTCAGAAAGGAATATTATCCTAAGCCATGTCTCTTAACTCCACGAGGCCGAGCCTCCAGGAAATAACTACTTTGCAAAGGTAACACAGACACACCTGTGTGCTGAGTTACAACCCTTTATACAGGGTTGGAGAGGGTCAGCTCTGCGAGATGCTTTCCTTCTCACCCAGATCTGCCACGCAGGAGCAACGTTCTATGGAGATGTTTACACAAAATCCACCCCACGTAGGATTTTTACGCTTCAGTTGGAAACAATCCAGCGCTAACCTTATTTTGCATGCCTTTACTGACAGCAAATTCCAGCAATCTGTTGCCTGCCTGTGACATACTTTCGCAACCTTTTACTGGAACAGGTGGCTTTCAACTACTTGTGGATTACCACCCAGGACATGCGCACATGGACCGCTCTCGGGCCTCCACCATTTCCAAACAGCTAGAACCCAAATAAGGACGTCTCCTTTTGGGCCTCAGCGGAACACAAACCAACAACGCGTATTAAATACAAAGCACCTCCCCGCCGGACAAGCCGATGTCCCAGACAGGCAAGGGGCGATTTATGAACATACGTGTGAGTTCGAATGTTAACAACATCAGTAATACCAGTGATGTGCGTGAACCCAGGAAACAGATCTTGGGGGCACACACTATGTGAAAGTCCCTGGCAACAGCAGCTCCCATTGTACTGAATGGAAGGACTCTTCCAGCTGAAGAATCAAACCCCCTGGCGGCCATGACCTCAGGAACTGTCACCATCACTGTGGCCAGGGAGGTGGGAGAGGTCACAGGCACCAGAGCTGGAGTGCCAACAGGGGAGGTGAGCTGACCACTAACCAGAGCTCTGTGTAACTGGGAATAACGCTCATGCTTTTCATCTGCCTGTTTTACCAGGTCTAACACCTGGGCCTGGCTTGCTATCAAAGGTCCTGGATAAACACTTTCCAGAACTTCTATGAGTGCAAACCCAAGGTCAAAGGGATTCTCCAAAGCCTGTAAGAGTCCAACTTATCCTGGGCCCTCAGAGGCTCTGAAGACGGTGCCAGGCCAACAGGCACCGACTAGACTAACTTGCTGTCCACACAGCGCCAGCTACCCTGCCCCAGCAGGAGGCAAGCTCCTCACCCCACCCCACCCCCAGCTGCCCCTGAGGCTGCCAGAGACCGCCCCACAGGCACCTTACGACCGGAGAAGTCTTTTAGAGGTCACCCTGTCTCACGCCCTGACTTTCCGGGAGAAGGAAACCCCGTCTGGAGCCACGTGTGCCTTGCCCAAGGTCACTTCAGCAGGCGACCTTCCAGCCTCTGGCGGCCAGCCCCTACAAACGGCGCACACCAAGTTGTTCCTCTCTGCCCAGTACTGCCACTTGCCGTGACCACAGCCACAAAAGACCCTTCGTGCCGGCCGGTGACACCCGGGCGTGCCAAGGCAGACAAAATCCTCCGAGTCTAAGCTCTCGGTGACCCAAGGGCTGCAGTTTTCGGAGAGGGTGGGAGACAGCCAGAGACAGAGAAGGAAAGCCAATCCCCGGCCCCGAGGGAACCCCCGCCTGCCTCCCCGCCGCCGGGAGCCGGGCCTGGCGGGCCCCGCCGAGCTCACCGGGTGCGCAGCGCCTGCCACGCGGCGTCGATGTCGGCGTAGAGGTTCTTCTCGGAGGGCTTGCCCGAGCTGACGCCGTAGCCCGAGTAGTCGTAGGAGAAGATGTTGCAGTTGATGCGCGAGCCCAGGCCGATGTAGAAGCTGCACATCTGGCCCAGGTCCACGGCGTTGCCGTGCGAGAAGAGCAGCGTGTAGCGGCTGGGGGGGGCGCAGCGCGCGAACATGGAGACCCGCCGGGTGTGC